AAAGGTGTCATCTTCTACCTCAGGGACAAAGTGGTGGTAGGGATCGTGCTGTGGAATATCTTCAACCGAATGCCCATAGCAAGAAAGGTAGGTGCCTATCAGAGCTCTTACAGCAAGATGGGAGGTGCAGGCTGGAAAACGCTCCTGTGACTTCATCAGCTGCCCTACTATGCACTGCCCACCTAGGTCAAATTGTGCCTGAGCAGAACAAAGGTATATCCTTGGCTCAGGAATGTTTCTTTTTCACTCAGAACCTGGCTGGGTGGCCTGGGAGTCGGCACATGCCTATTTAGGGTTAGTAGAAAGCTGTTCCCACAATTCTCTTCAGGTGTGATGTGAAGACTGGCCCAGGCTGCGCCATTGTGTGCCTGGGCTTGAATGCACGCAGAGTGAGTTAGTGATCGACTGTTCCTCTCTCCCTCAGATCATTAAGGATGGCGAGCAACATGAAGATCTCAATGAAGTAGCTAAACTATTCAACATTCATGAAGACTGAAGTCCCCCGGTGGAATAGGCAAACACTTTGCTGTCTCTGACAGCAGTTTGTATGGCTAAAGGAACATTTTTTTTTAATTCATCAGACTTCCTCTGTGTGTATGAGTGTGAATGATCAAGTCTTTTGTGAATATTTCAATCACGTAGGCAAATTCTTAATGTTCACATCACTAAATAAAACCTGATTCTTCTAAATTAAATCCTGCTCTCTTTGAAAGGGAACGGGTTGGGTGAAAGGAGGAAAGGTCTGCATATTAAAGAGCAAGCAAATTGGAGTTACTACCAAATGCATGACTTTTCTCAGTGTTGTATTCCCTGTTCCACACTCTACACTTCTTTCAGTTCCCTGAACTTCTCTCGCCTCTCCGGACCTATCTATAACAGACATGCTGTGGCTTTTGCCTACAGCGCTTGACCCTTCTTCCCTTCCCTAGGGAAGATCCTGTCTCTATAATGCTTTCCTAGCTCTTCTAAGACTATTCCTTGCTTGTCTGCCTAGTGGTCTGTGGCTTCCTGGAAGCCAGAACCTTGCTTTAATATCTTGCTCTTGGTTATATCTCCAGAGCTTAGCATAAAGTCTGGCTCACAGTAGGTGCTTAGTAAATCATTGTTGAATGAATGAACACATAAACATGGAATAGACTTCACTTTATCTGGAACAATATCTGTATGTACCCCCCATCCCAGAATTGAATTGGTCCTGCAGGGGCCCAGAAAGGACATTTACTGCAAACGGAAACAAGGGTTCAAAAACCTGGTGCTTTGTGGCTAAACCTGGAGACTGACTCCTTGAGGGATCATGAGTTCTCAATTCCTCTGCCAGCTGTCCTCCAAACAGTGGAGAGGACAGAAATAAACCCTCCACTAACTCCTTTTATCTAAAATAAGCTTATAGGCATACCTCACTTTACAGATAGTACCTGGGAATATAAGTCAGAGTTTCATAAATCAGCTCTTTTTTTTTTTTTTGCATTTCAAATTACTTAACTTTTAAAATTCAAATCTTATTTCAATTAAGAGAAATTATTACTATTTTCAAGAGTCTAACTGTGAATCTTTTTGTAAAGAGAAAATTATGACCAGCCTAGATGAATTTTTTCATGTTGTGTTTGTTTAAAGAGGGTTGAAGCTACAACAAAATCCCTTCTGAACACTAGAACAAGACAAATGTTCACATTAAGAATGAGCTGAATTAGAACAGTTCTTATTACATGTGTACAGGTTTGGTGAAATATAATCTGACACATGACATCCAAATCTGTAGGTACAATACTCATCTAGTATCCTGTGAGACAGGACTCATTTGTACAGTAATCATCGCTGCTTACAAAGATGCTGTTCTTTGAGTGCCTACTATGAGCCAAGTGGATGTTATAAGAGGAAAATAGAGAAAACATGGTTACTTCTCTAAAGGAACTCCTGGTGTCAGTGAGGAAGGCAGACACGTGAATTCAGAAGAATAATATAGTGAAATGTGTCCTCAGAAAGACACAAAGTACCGTGGACACACCAAGAATGGAGAGCAACCAGAGCATCCATGCTTAAGTCTACCACTGCTGCTAGATCACTTCCTAAAGCATCATTTGGTCCATGTCCCTCCCACCGCACCCTACCTCACCTCGTTTACATACAGCGACTCCCTGTTACCAACCACATCAAGTCCAAAGTCTTCTATAGCTCTCCTGATCTCAGCCCACTCTGTCATGTCCAGTCTCCTTTCCCATGACTTCATACGCACATGTATGTGCACACATAAACATCTGGTTTATTGCCACCCTTAAGTTCTTCACATCTGGAACTCCATCCCAATATCCTTTTACCTATCCAGATCCTGCTCATCTTTCAAGGCCCAAATGAAATCCCACCTTGCTCTTGAGGTCATATTCATAAAATCCTCTTTAAGTCCAAGGTCTTTGAGTTTAGTTCCTATGTTTTCTTCTATGCACTTTATTGTTTCAGGTCTTATATTCAGGTCATTAATCCATTTTGAGTTAATTTTGGTGTGTGGTGATAGACAACAGTCTAGTTTCATTCTTTTGCAGATGGCTTTCCAGTTTTCCCAGCACCTTTTATTGAAGAGGCTTTGCTTTCTACACTGTACGTTTTGGGCTCTTTTGTCAAAAATTATTTTTCCATATCAACATACATTTACTTCTGGACTCTTGATACTGTTCCACTGGTCTGTGTGTCCTATTTTCTGCCAATATAATGCAATT